ATGGCTAGCTTATCTTATCAATGGCAACTCAGCTCAGATGGGTGGAAATCTGGGAAGAAGCATTTCAGATCACTAAAAGGGACTCTACCTTAATGAATCCATTATAAACCACTGTTTTTCAAATTTGGCAGTTTTACATTGTGTGGACTTCAGCTCCTAGAATTCTCCAGTCTGCATTAAAATTGCCAAGGTTGAAAAACACTACAATGGTGGGGAAAATTTTCTTACGGTATTCAATAGTCTTTTTTTAAAACCATAGATTGGGAGTAGAAGTCTGTTTATTTCTTGATTCTTTCATCTTGCCCAGCTGGATGGGGCTTGACAGACACACAGCTGTGACATGGTATAAAACAGGGGTCCCCAACCCCCGATCCATGGACCAGTACCGGGCCATGGCATGCTAGCAACCGGTTCGCACAAACAAGCAAAGCTCCATCTGAGGGATGCAGGCAGCACACAAAACCACACCCTCTTTGGTCCGCGGAAAAACGTCTCTCCATGGAACTGGTCCCTGGTGCCTGAAAGGTTGGAGACCTCTGGTATAAAAGACCTCTGCTAGTTGCAGATTGATATCACTCCCTGTGTTACGAGGGGACATTTGGGCTTTCTTTGGAACTGTGGGGCAAAGAGTCTCCTATTGGTGGAAAGTTCCTCCTCCTCCTCCTCCCCCCCCCATATTTACAAGGTTCATACGAGTAGGAAGCCAATGTTTTGTAGGGCAGTACTACTTTATTATAAAGCAATATTTTATCTTGTAAGTCTGAATGTGCATCTCTGTCTCATCCTTTGTTTTCATGAGAACTAGATAAGGTTGGACAAGACCTTTTCTCAGGTTACATTCCTGCCCTGGACTCCTTAATCCACTTTTATCTGATCATTGTTTTGAAAGGTTTTTTTTTTCTAATGGTCATTTCTTCTACTCTCTACACCCTCACCCATTTAACTTAGAGTGTCTGAATTTCCCAAGCCTTGGAAATGGTCCTAAAACAAAAAATGAATCATTATTGTTATGAACCACCAGGTTTATTATTGGAAAACTGAAGTATATCTTTGTTTGGATCAATAGTATTTACCTCAACTGAATTTATATCAGTTGAGAAAGTAGCACAACAAATAAATTCTTCAGCTAAGAACTGTTTATTCAGTGGCAGTCTCTATTTTTTTTTATATTAAGAATGTTGTTCCTGGTGCTCTCTGTACTCATACTTGATTTATGTATATTACAAAATGCTAGTAATGCTTATTTCTGAGGAGTTGATGCCCTAAACACAATTTTTAAAATATGTTTAGAGATGATAGAAATTTGAAAGCAAGATACTTTAATCATCTGTTTTCTTTCTTTTAGATATGTTCATTATTTCTTCCCTTATTATAGTTACATACTGAATCACCACCATGAAGGATATCCTTTGTATAATGGAAATGTAGATTTTTAAGCTCTAAATGCCTTTAAAGCTGAAGTCTTTATATGTTGTGAAAGTGCTTGCCGTTGCCTCCCTGCTAGAGCTGAGACAGAGTGACTGGCCCAAGGTCATCCAGTTGGTTTTGTGCTTAAAGTGGGACTAGATCTCATGGTTTGTAGCCTAGGACATTAACAGCCACACCAAACTGGCTCTTTGTAGAATATACTACAGCTGCAATAGTAAACTGTGTGTAATTGAGAGACGTAATTCTGTGACCAGCTTCCGAATTCATGGCATCTTTGGTATTACGAGAATTTGGCTTTCCTTGATGGAAAATTTGGGATGGAATTTTAATTGTAGTTCAGGATTTTTCTTTACTTATGACTGTAATAGCTTATGTGCCATTTTATTAATACAGACTAGGGTCATGAAAGATGGGTCTGATAAACAGAGGTTAATTAGAGCAGTATTATTGCCTTTAAGCTTTGCTTATAGGATTTCCGGAAGCATCTCTGACCTTTGATGGAAATAGGCTGTTTGACAGATGCTCCTTGTTTATCTCATCCAATAAAGTCCTTCTTATTCTTTAGACATAGATTTATTTCTACACAGCTAATCATCTTGTTAGAAGAAGCAACAATCGTTCAGGAATAGAATACCTGGATTTTATGTGATGTTTCAGGTTTAGATTTCAGCACTCTCTGGGTAATAGTAGAAAATAACTGCTTCAGATTTGTTTGTTCAATTTCTATAGCTATACATCTCAAGAAAGTGACCCTTGATTGTATTAAGAGTTGATGTATCAAATGTTGGAAACTTGTATCAATTAGTCTTGGCCAGGGGTAGGCAACCTTGGCTCTTTTATGACTCGTGGACTTCAACTCCCAGAATTCCTGAGCCAGCCATGCTGAGAAGAAATGGAGAGGTTTCCATGCTGAGCCATGCTAGCTCAGGAATTCTGGGAGTTGAAGTCCACAAGTCATAAAAGAGCCAAGGTTGCCTACCCCTGGTCTTGGCAGTATTAATAGTACATTAATTACCTTCAGTTTAAGATGGCTTATTTCCAAATTAGCAAAATTTTAATTTTGGATCTCTAGGTATCAAACTACATTTGTCATCATCCCCATATTGGATGGGAATGATGGGGGAATTGCTATGAATCAACATTGCAGACCCAATACACCTTTTCTCTTGTCTTTACTCATGAACATTGGATTCATACTTTGGTAAAACCTTGACATTCTCGAGTTTACTAGTTTTGTGAATGTGCTTTAAGGATAATTACAGAAATAATGTTCCTCCTAAATAATATTCAAGTAAAAAAATTGACAGTTTTGAAATTTCCACTTGAATAAATTTACAATTTGAGACACACTAGGTCAGGGGTAGGCAACTTTGGCTCTTTTATGACTCGTGGACTTCAACTCCCAGAATTCCTGAGCCAGCATGGCTGGCTCAGGAATTCTGGGAGTTGAAGTCCACGAGTCATAAAAGAGCCAAAGTTGCCTACCCCTGCACTAAGTATTACCTTCTATCTAGGTAAGTTTGGATATTGTGACTGGAAATGAAAATGGTTGTCCAACTCTTCTTTAAAAATTCCAGTGTTGTAGCACCCACAACTTCTGGAGGGAGATCATTCCACTGATCATTCTAACTGTCGGGAAATTTCTCCTTAGTTCTAGTTTGGATCTCTGTTTGATTAGTTTCTATCCGTTGCTTCTTGTTCTGGCTTCAGGTGCTTTGGAGAATAGCTTGAGCCCCCTCTTCTTTGTGGCAGTTCCTCAAATATTGAATATGGTATCCAATATGTATGTGTATGAAAGTGTTGATTCCTGCCCTAGGTATAGGGAGGTTAGCTGTTCTTGAGCATGCTTTTTGTCCTTATTTCATTCCTACCACCTGTCTTATGTACCTATGTACACTCTAGCACACTAGATATAAAACTGTCTTCATAATTTTCTTCTCTGGTGACCTTCAGTGTTCACTTATGGACGTGGGCTGTGATTGTACCTTATGATCTCCAGGAAGGCAAAACCCAGAAACTGCTGCTATTCCCATTGTGGAGTCTTTTACGATTGTCATATTGTCATATGAGTGCTTTGATGCAGTGCCAATAGACCAGTAAATTAATGACAAAACCACCCACATTAATCTTCCTGATCGCTTAGCAGGAAAAATGTAGATGCTAAAACTACTTCCATCAGAGTGAATAACTAACATTTGGCTATCTGCACAGATTGGCTGATTGGAATGGGATGTAATTTCATATTTCATGTGTTCACTGCTTTGACTCAGTGACCCTTTTTGGATAATTAGATATTATGAATGCTCCTTTGTGTTTGTTTTCACTTCCTACAAAGAGATACTTAAGCATATAAGATTGATAGAGTTGTGTTATACAATATGACCAGGTCCTTTGCTGAGTGAGTTTCCTACGGCTGTCATTTTATGATCAGGATTGTTACACATTCTCAATATTTGAAATGTGTCCTAGAGCCAAAATGTTTGCTTGCCTCTGAAATCTGTTAAATAAATGTCTTCATAAATAATCAAGCTAATGAAGTGATGCTTTTGACTTCTAACTTTGCACTACTTACCTTAAGGGATGAAGCAATCAAGCGGGAATAAATTATATTTGGAGATAAGGCCTGTCCAATTTATGAGAATTGATTACTTCAAAGCTTTGTTGATAAATTATTGGCCCTAATGTGCAACTGTGAAATCTAACTGACTTATTTGTTTGATTTGTTCTAGGGCCGTCATGTTAAAACAGGGCAACTTGCAGCTATTAAAGTCATGGATGTCACTGGGGTAATGTATTCTTATTTCACTTTCTAAATTATGAATGTGTATGATTAAAGTGCAAGGCAATTTACTCAAGAATTTGAAAACATCCAGAAATTATTTAAATGTTGTTTGGTTTCCATTGGCTCGAGTTGCAACAATACACATGGAGAATTGTCAATAATCACAGTATTTTTTAAAGTGCCAATTCATTTCATATAAAGGCCAGTATTAAGACATTTAGTGTCTTCGGGGAAAAAAAATCTCATTAACAAAGGGCAGCTATGTGATTTAGGGATTGTTTTTAAAAATATTTTTCTTGCTGTTTGATGTACAGTATGTATTGCTTATGTGCTTTGATGAGCAAGGAGAGACTTGCACAAGTTATAACAAGTTATATTACTATTTAATCATTTATTTGCTTCATTTTCTGGAAAAACGGTGAAGATTGGGTTTCCATACACTATTTTGGCAACTCTTTGTGGCATTGGATGCAAACAAAAGTACTGTAAACACAGCTGAAATTTCTCAAGAAAACTAAATTTCATAAAATTTCATATAGCTAATCACAAATAGTCCTTCAAAATTCCACACCCTGCTTGTGAACAAAGAAGTTGGATGGATAATTATTCCATATTTGTCTTAGAGAAGTAAATATTCTCCAAAGATTCCTTAAGGAACAGCTCTCTTCAGTAACAATAGTTGTGTCACTACTGAAGAAGCACAGCATGATGACGTACCTTGGGATATAATTAACACATGAGTCAGAGAGTCTACAAACTTCTGGAGAGATGACTCTACATTGAAAAATGAGAAATGCACACCTATCTTTTGGACACCTAAGCACAAAATAAATGGAGAAGATCACACTCCATTCATGAAATGTTTTCTGAAATTATCTTCCCTTTTGGAACACTTTATAAAATACTCTGTTTTATGCAATTTGAATGATAACTAATAGAAAAACAAAATAGAACTTATGTATCTGGCATTAATTTTAGCACTCTTGAAATATCACAAGAACACAAGTGTGAACACTAGTATTCAGAGAACATGTTTGATTTAGGCCACTAATCGTAAATATATTTAACAATGAAATAGTGAGATATCTTTATTATAGACATTTCCATTACTTTGGGAGATGTGTGTCTCATTAGGAGTAGATGCCAGTTGCTGACTCAGGCCTTACACCCGAGCTCCATTTTTATCAACAAAGAAAATTGTCTAATGCTTTCCTTGCCTACACAGATTCTCTTTTCCGCTAGAGCTTAAGTTTCAGCATTCCATGTGGCATTTCCTTTACTTTTGCCAGTCTTTTAGATTCAGTTTTGTCAATCAGCCAGCTTGGTCAGCATGTTTTTACACCTGAATAAAGAGCACAGTGGTCCTGCCAATCCTACAACTGGCTGCAATTGATCTAAACTTTTGTGTTGGTTGCCTCCTCTGTTTACATCACCGTAGCATTGCCCATCCTTCATAATTAATAAATTCCTAGTTTTTATTTTACAAGGCACATATGCTCATTGTTGCTGCTTTTGTAAAATACTGTAATGTGGATAAAATAATAATTCAGTAATGATTTTTAATTTCTGTCATGGGTGTAAAGTTTTACATAAAGCAGTCTGAGTTTTTTTAATTTATTATATTTACAGTAAGTATATGGCAATTGATTTTATTGCATTCCTTTGCAATATTTGAATATGTAATGTATGCAATTGCCTTACAAGTAGTTCCCAACTTACAACTGTTTGAAGTAACAAGGCCTTGAAACCGGTGCCTTACAACCCTAACTCATAAATGAGGACCCAGATTGTTGGGGGCAACATGATGACTCTGTAAACCACTTAGAGAGGGCCATAAAGCACTGTGAAGCTGTATATATAAGTCTAAGTGCTATGAAGCACGTACAGCTGTCTGTCACATGACGGTATTTCAGGCAATTGGCAACCTTTTCACATTTATGACCAGTTGCCAAGTGCTCTGCAATCACGTGAATGTGCAATTTACAGTTTTCTCTTTTACCTGGTTGCTTAATGACTGCAACTGAGGCAGTTACATGGCTTCTAGCTTAATGATGATTTTGCTCTGTGACCGAGATTCCAGGCCTAATTGTAGCCATAAGTGGAGGACTACTGAGAGACTTTTGAATTTGCTAGCATTTTTCAATAGTACCTGCTCTTCCTGTCTGGGCTTGGAGGCTGGATAGAATTTGGATAGGGTTCTATCAGGAAATGCCACTGCTGTAGACTAGGCTTGGAAGTCTCCATCCCACCCAAAAATAAATTCCAGAAGAAAGAAGTGACAAAGTGTTTTTCTATTCTTGTGTTCAGAGGTGCTTTTTCAAAAGGTAACTGGACTTCCTTGGTTTTTTCCTTGAAAACGTCTTGCTTCTCATAAGAAGCTTCATGGATGAGAAGCAAAGTATTTTCAAGAAGAAGACCAAGAAGGTCCACCTACCTTTTAGTAAAGCACCTTTAGGAAAACCATGACCTGGATGATTGAGAAGCTCCATAGACGTACTGTGATCAAGAGTATTTTCTAGACTTTTCTTTCTCTAGTATCTAATATCTCTAGTATTTCTAGTTTGTATGTTGGTTTGGTGTCCCTCCCTTCAAAGAGGTAGTCTGTCCTCTTTGAAATGAATGTTGATGTAAACATTGCTAATTATCTGCAAGAAGTAAGGCAGTTTCTTCTGGATATCTGTGGTGCACCAGGTGCTGAAGACACTATACCAGTGGTGGCGAACCTATGGCATGGGTGCCAGAGGCGGCACTCAGAGCCCTCTCTGTGGGCATGCGCGCCATTGCCCCAGTCCTAGGCCTTCAGTTGGGTTTTATAAAACCTTTTCACTTTAGGCCTCCGCCGCCATGTGCAAAAAAAAAAGGTTCAATCAATCAGTCAATTTCAACTTCTCGTGGGGAAAAAAAAGATCTTGCAAAGTTGGAATTGATTGATTGAACTTTTTAGTCCCACCCAGTCTGCTGTTACCACCACAGCCACGCCCACCCAATGGGCCACACCCAGTCAATGGCCACACCCACCTGGCACCTGACGATGCATAAATGGGTTTTGGGTTGCAGTTTGGGCACTCAGTCTCTAAAAGGTTCGCCATCACTGCACTATACATATCCTGTTTGGTTGCAAACTATATTCTGCAGAAAGGACCATTTACTTAGATCCTAATTTAAGCATTAAAAAATACTGGGACACCCAGTTGATAAAAGGAACAGAGATTTTCTAGGTATTCAGCTTGCTAGTCTTTTTATGGGGAAACTAAACAATTTGCTTGCTACAGAAACCCAGAAGGAAAAGTATAAAATGACTTAATGTTTTTCTGGAAATGTAAGCACTCTAGGAATTGCTTAATAAGAGTTTTAATTCACTAAACCACATGCTATTTTTGCAATTTATGGCCACATGACTTGCCTAGAAATACAGTGTGAGAATGTCTTCAGAAAGAATTCACTTTAAAAAGACAAATTAAATGAGCTCCTTGTGCTCTCTCACGAATCGCAACAATTTCTTCCTTCTTTCCTTCTTTCTTCTACACTTGGCTTTTCCCCCTCATTCATTCACTAGTACTTAAGCTCCCACCCCTGTTCATTCATACAAAAACATACCTCTCCTTCCATCCTTCCATCTCTCACACATACATTTGCAATTCTCCAGGGAAGTCTGTATAAAAAATGACAACAGTTTTGTCCCTACCTGTGGTTTTTCAAAAAAGGATAAGAGATCTCTAATCCTGGAGTCTTTTAGTCCCAGAGTCTTAGAATTTCCTCTTCACTGATAGCTGAAAATTGTTAGCAAATTATTGCTATTTGGGAGTGGACAATGTATGAGCACTATAGTGTAATCTCTAAAATTGGCTTATTTAAATAACAAAGAAAACCTCAAAAATGATTTTGTGTATCCCCATACAATCTTATATCTATTATGTGAGCTTTTAACTCTGCTGAGTTTTGCATGAAAGTGGAGTAACATATTCAGTCAACAACCAGAAAATTTTATAAAGTATACAACACGAGTAAACCAAATGGAGGGGGTAAAATACCAACATAGCAGAGTCTCTATTAAAAGTATAACATAAGGTGTATTAATAAATGATAGAAGTCTATAGTCTGGAAAATAAAAATGCATGTTTTCTAAAATAAAGTACTGGTAATACAAAAACACTAATACAGGGGTTCCCAAACCCCGGTCTGCGGACTGGTACTGGGCCACAGCATGTCAGCAACCGGTCTGTACAAACAAACAAAGCCCCATCCATGGGATGCAGGCAGCACACAAAACCACGCACTCTCCAGTCCGTGGAACAATCTTTCTCCACAGAAGCACTCCCTGGTGCCCCAAAGGTTGGGAGCCTCTGCGCTAATACAATGTCAGAATCTCCCTAGAATCTGAAGTAGTTATTCTTGGAAGCAGCTACGCCAGTGGTTCTCAACCTGTGGGTCGGGACCCCATTTGGGGTCGATCGACCATTTCACGGGGGTCGCCAAGCAAGGCTGTCCGCCATTTTTTTTGTCCGCCATTTTTTTCCCCTTTTCCGGCGGGTGCCTTACCTCCCTTGGGCTGGGCCAGCTGGTGGTCGGCCTGCTCCGTCTCTGCCGCTTGCCAGCTACGCCTCCGCCGGTGCAGGGGGCGGAAACACGCATGCACGGCGCTCCCGGGCAGGGAAAGTCCTCGACTTACGACCGGTTGGATAGTCCTCGACTTACGACCGGTTTAGTCCTCGACTTACGACCGGTTTAGTCCTCGACTTACGACCGGTTTAGTCCTCGACTTACAACCGGTTGGGGTCGCGGCATTAAAAAGGTTGAGAACCACTGAGCTACACCTTATTTTCATTGTGGAGATACATCATTTGGCTGCTGTGCAAGAAATGAATGGTTTCAAATCTTCTAAAAGATGATATGCATACGAATCATCTGGCCTTCCTAAAGATGTAAAAGTGTGCAAAATGTGTGTGCTTGTTACCTATTTTTTTTATTCACATTCCACCAATCAACTCCAAGCCCCTCTAGCCTTATTCCTTTCTTTCAGTTCCCTCTGCCATTAGTTGATCTTCAGTCCTCCACATTTTGGTTTTGCATATGTGCGAAAGAGGATTTTCTGTTGTCTGGCTCATAAATTCCAGGATCCCATTTAAACTCCAGTTGGAATTGAGTAGAAAACTCTATTATAGTGTGTATAGGAAGCAGAACCATAGGCCTTTAGTGCAAACTACAATAGACTTACAAATTTGGATTGTAAAAGTTAGTTTGAAATAGATTACTGTAAGATAGCTTGCACATTTCATATATTGTTCTTTTTGGAAATTGTCTTTTTCATTCCTCAAAGGGTCCCCTAAACCAACTTTTTCTGATCCCCAAATGGTGGCCGCTCTTAAAAAGAAGACAAAAACCAAATAAATTATAATTTTACTTGACTTTAAATTGTTTAAAGTTAAATATAGTTAAAGAGATTAATCTCTAATTATATGTTTAATAAGTTTTCTCCCCCAACAGTAACCAAAATTACCGTTTCATAACTATTTCTGGAGATCTCAAGAGGCTGCATCCAAGTCTTTTAAGGGTGCTTGTGATTGTAAAGTCTCTGATTGTTTCTCTCTATTGTAATCCAATTAACTTCATTGTCACATGGAGCCAAAATAGCAAGCAGCCTAATGTAAAGAAAATGGAAAATATTTACAAGTGGAGCTAAATTTATTCTATAATAAACAGATAAAAGAGGAAGCAGAGTGGTGGAAATAAAAGCAAATGAATTGTTTTTGTTTGTCTGCATCAACCGATGAAGAGAAATAATCTCTGGTGATAAGCCTGTTGTTGAATTGATGACACTATTTTCTTTTTCTTTTTCTCCAGGATGAAGAAGAAGAAATTAAACAAGAAATTAACATGCTAAAGAAATACTCTCATCACCGAAATATTGCTACTTATTATGGTGCTTTCATTAAAAAGAATCCACCAGGAATGGATGATCAGCTCTGGGTAATACAGTTACAGTTTTGTTTGTATTTTAACAATCTTCATTTTATTTTCTGTGGTTGGATAAATCTTAAATGCAACCAGTGTATCAGTAGGTGATCAGGTGATTGAAGGAAGTCTAGAAAAGCATAAATGTTGTTAATGGGCTATAAGGCTATTTGGCAAATCAACTTTGGCAAATCAATGGCTGGTTTCTCTTCCATTGTGCTTGGATCTATTTTAAATGCTCTTTTCTTTAAATCACCTGCACATCTATTTATAGGAGGTGATATAGCTCAGTTTGAAACAGGCACAATATCCATTTAGATTCTGTAGCTGTGTTTGCATAACATTTGAACTGAAGCTTAAGCTTCTAGTCCTTTGGCATTTCTGAGATAGTGGGAGGGAGGGCCTAATTTTTATTTTTCTCTCCTCTTATTGCTGATAAATAGACACTGGTGCCTGCAGAGTAGGTTACAAAGTACAGCAAAGCAGTAAAGATGCTATTGCAAGGAAAGATTTCATTCCATTTATTCTTCCAGCCACTTCTTTTGATTAGTATCTTATCTGGGATCAGACAAATTGAATGGTATGGTTTAATTTTTCTTCCTTTTCAATTAACAGAATAACAGAGTTACCTTGAGAAGCCTAACTGCAAACCAGCTTAGTGTATTGTGTGAGCTTGCCCAGTAAAAATAGCATGTGCTTTAAATTAGGATGGAAGAAGATGTCTGTCTTTCTGGTCACAAAGAAGCCATATTTATAGAACATAGGATTATCAATGGCTCCTAGTCTTGAAAAATGGGTGCTTATGTCAAGGCATGAGAGCAGCCTGCTTCTACGTAGTAGGTGCACAAGAATAACAGTGAGAAACAATAACTGCTTCATTTTATATCTGTTGGCTTTCTATTGGTTTTTTGTGTGAGAAGAAATGCTAATTAGATCTGCCTAGATGTGATAACGTCCTCAAGTTCTCAGTGGCAGCCCCATTCCAGGTCTGCAATTCTTCCTTCCACCCTGGACCTTATATTAAAAATTACACATTGTTGAACATTACTATGTGATGCTTTCCTTTAGCTTAATGCTGGCTATTACAAGCAGAAACAGAGAAAAGTACAACTTGATGATGCTGAGATAAGGTCTAAGTTGTCTGCAGGTTCTAAAAATCAATCTCAGCAGGGTTTGCAACAATTGTTGTTATCTTAGCATTCCTCGAAAGAAGATGGGATATAAATATTTATGAGATACCAATGATTCTGGTTTTGTTATATGTTCTGTTACATTTATTTGAATGCTTAGAATGCACTTTTTCTTGCAAGTCTGCAGTTCAGCACCTGTGCATTGTTAAACATGACCATAGTTTGGAGGATCTGTTTTTTGTTGTTGTTTGTTTGTTTGTTTGTTTTTACTAATTTCTGGAGTTAGGCCACGATTCAAATGACCTGTTCAGAAAGCGTCACTGGGTTGCAGCTGAGAGGTGAACGGACATTTTGTTCCACGCGAGCAGAATTACTATATTTTAGATGTCTGATTGAATTAGAACTGGTGACACTTCTATTCTTCCTGCTCTGGAGATAAATGCATCTTTATTTTTTGCTGTCATTGTTGGAATAAAACTCCTTGATGATAAGGCCAAAGTAATTCTCTTTATCAGTCCTCTGCCGAGGTGATAATGGAGAGGTGGAAGGGAAGCCAGAATTTTTTCAATACAGATTATGATCTCTCTGCAATAAGGCAGGTTTCCGACATATTCTATGGCTATCATGCTTGAAGTGCCTCTTTTTATTTGGCCTGCAAATATTGCTCTGTACAAGAAAAATACCACCAGGTCTATTAAATGTTATCACCTTTGTCAAATACGAAGGTGGCAAATTCTAGCCTAATTGTTCTCCAGGAAAACCAAGTGCAAGATTCATTTTTCTCAATAAAAGGGAATTGGATCTAGTGATCATCTCCTGGTTCTGTAGAATTCCAGTGTCGTTCCTTGTTTTCAAAAACCATACTTTCAGATTATTTGTCCTGTTAAGAGAAGGGCTCTTGGAAAATGGGGAAAATCTTTTTAGTGACCAGGCCAAGGCCATTTCAAAGGCAACGGGAGGGTTTATTTGGTCCTTTCTCTCTTATTCTAAGGTCCTGTCCTATTGACTGATTTCATTGTTGGGTTTTAGAATTGGTGGATGTAGTTATTTTAAGGGTACTGATTTTTGTTCTTCCAAGCTGTTTATACAGGCAGTCCTCAACCTACAACAGTTTGTTTAGTGACCGTTCAAAGTTACAATAGCACTGAAAAAAGCTACTTACAACCGGTGCAGGATCCCCAGGGTCATATGATCAAAATTCAGATGCTTGGCAACTGATTCATACTTATGACGGTTGCAGTGTCCCAGGGTCATGTGATCTTCCGACAAGCAAAGTCAATGGGGAAGCCAGATTCACTTAACAACCGTGTTGCTTACTCAACAACTTCAGTGATTCACTTATCAACTCTGGCAAGAAAGGTTGTAAAATGGGGCAAAATTCACTTCACAAATGTCTCACTTAGCAACAGAAATGTTGGGCTCAGTTGTGGTCATAAGTTGAGGACTACCCGTATCTGGTTCAACTGTCTTTCATAACTTTGATATTGTGGCTTAATAATTGCTTTTAGCTTCTAAGTCACCTTGAATACTATGTGATGAAAAAAGAAGGTTATGATCAGGGCTTTTTTTCTCGGAGAAAAGGTGGCGGAACTCAAACCTGGCCACGCCCTCATCAAACCCTAGGACCGCCCCTTTAGAGAACAGGAATGCAAGTAAAATTTGGGAGGGGCTATTTCCGGTGTGGGAGGGGCTATTTCCGGTGCGGCCGGCCCGGAAAAAGGTGCCGGAACGCGGTTCCGCCGCGTTC